GGGTTTTGTAATTAAATGGGCATGCTGATAAACTCACATGCAGGAAGTTTTTACAAATGAGTTAGGTTTTCACTTACCCAGGAAACTTTGGGACATGGTGTTGGAAAGTTCAAAGTGAGCCATGAGTGTGATGTGGCTCCTTTGGGGAACTTGCATATCCTTGAGGTGTATTGAGGAGATACACCTTTTCAGAATCAACCCCCAGGTTTCCCCCAAGGCTCTGGGCTGGTCAGACCCAATCTAGAGGAAGGAGCTCAGTTCTGGGCCATATAGTTTTAAGAAGGAACCAGTGTGGAGCTAGCATATGAGATGAATGATAGCCGTTAGATTTTTTTGAAGTGCTTGCTAAGTTCTGCACCAAGGTACCATCCCAAGTACATTTTAGTAGAAGAGTATTCCATGTTTTAGAACTTTGCCAGAATAAGAAATGATTCTGTCTTCTTCAAGAGGGTAGTATTTGCTGTGAAACTAACTACTCCCAGAATTTGGTGACTTGACATTTTGAATGGAGTGTCAAAATATTTGTGGACATTATTTATTTATTTTTAAATTTTTATTTTTCAATTAGAGTTGACATTCAATATTATTTTATAGTAGTTTCAGGTGTACAGCATAGTGGTTAGAAATTTATATAATTTATGAAGTGATCCCCCGATTAGTTTTGTGGACATGTTTAAAACCACTACAGGGATAGTATAGCCTCTGGAGCTGAACGGTCTGGCTTCAAATCCCAACTTCCTTCCTACTCACTAGTTAAGCAGGTTGTCTAACCTTTTGTTCTGGGCTCAGCCTACTAAGCTGAGGTCCTGCTACTGATAACAGCAACATGCCTTGTGAAGATTAATTGGTTAGTCTATCTAGTCTTTAGAATGGTGCTTGCACGTGAAAGATACCCTGTAAATGTTGACTGTAATGGTGACAATGACATATAAGGGAGAAGACTGTTATTAGGAGTTAAGCAGACACAGTCTCTCCTCCAGGTGGTTGTATTGCCTTAACATCAAAAATAGCCCTCTTTTTCATTTTTCTCATCTGTAACATGAGAGAGGTATCGAAGTGTGCTGGTTAAGAATCACGGCTCCGAAGTCATAACTCCAGGACCGGAATCCCATCTCCACATTGATTATATGATACTGGGGTCTAGCTTTTGATTTCCTCTTGTATAAAATGATTATATTAATGCCTACATTACAAGGCTTTCATAAAGATCAAGTCAGATAATATGTACAAAATGTTTGGTATATTTTTGAACATGAACAATAATCAATAAACGTTAGTCATTAAATAGTTGAACTAAGAGGCAATGCGATTATTCTCCAGATGAAGAAAGTACAGGAGCAAGCCCTCTGTGTTCACTGGCATGGGTCATCTTGGTCTAGCGGAGGCTGTCAAGTCATTTCTTCAGATGAAAATCAAACCCTTGCAGCTGCAACCACTTCTCCAGCTTTGCCATACTCATGGCATCAACTGAATTAAAGGTAATCTCTACTTTGGGTAAATACGCTTACCTGTCATTGCAATAGGACACTACCAAGCTCCATAGGAAAGAGGATTGACTGCACTTGGACATCAAATTGACATATATGTTACAGCTAGCCTTCCACTCATAAAGGCTTTCACATTTACAGTGCAAATCACTAGAACTTGGACCAAGAAGTACAAACCATGAAGTGTTTCCTCACAGTTTACTGTTCCTAAGAATCACTAGGAGTACTTATTTATTTATTTATTTATATTTTTTTGCTTAAAATATTTTTTTAAGGTAACATTGATTAATAACATTGTATTTTTCAGGTATATAAGATTGTAATTCAACATCTGTGTACTATATTTTGTACTCATGATCCAAAGTCTAGTTGTCATCCATTGCCACGTAGTTGACCTCCTTTACCCTCTTCATCCTCCCCACACCCTACTTCCCCTCTGGGAACCACCATTCTGTTATTCATATCTATGATTTTGTTTTGTTAGTTTGTTACTTTTTGTTTTATATTTCATGTGAGTAATATTGGTTTTTCCTTATCCATCTGACTTATTTCACTTAGCATGATGCCCTCAAGATCCATTCATATTGTTGCAACTGGCAGTTTTTCATCCTTTTTAATGGCTGAGTAGTATTCCATTGCATATAAGTACCACATCTTTATCTAGTCATTTGTTGAAGGATACTTAGGTTGTTTTCATGTCCTAGTTGTTGTGAATAATGCTGCAGTGGGCATAGGGGCACATATATCTTTACAAATAAGTGTTTTCAAAATTTCCAGGTAAATACCTAGAAGAAGAATTGCAGGATAACTTTTTGTGAAACTTTCATACTGTTTTTCATAGTGGCTGCACTAATTTACATTCCCATCAGTAGTACTCAAGGGTTCTAGGGGTACTTATTTTTAAAATGCAGATTTCTTGGCTCTATCCTCAAGAGTTTTTGATTTTGAGAGCCTGGAATAAGGATCAGGAATCTGCATTTTACATGCCAATTGATTTCCTAAACAAATAGTTGTTGAGCATCTGTGATGACCAGGCAGATTCTAAGTGTGTCGAAGATATTATTGGACAAAACAGGCAAAGATTCTTGCTTTTGTGGGCATGGGAAAATAGTAAGTAATAAACATCAAAACAAGTGATTCATGTTGTATGTTAGACATGTCTTTCTCTGATACACAGAGTGGACACTAGGGACAGGACAGCTCCCTGCTCCCTCAACACAGAGGGAAAAAAATGTCAACTATCTCATTAATAGTTGTTTGCCCGTTGATCACACATTGAACTGATATTTTTTGAACCTGAGTTAATTGAAATAGACTATTGTTACTTTTATGTTTCTTTTTACAGTTTTAGTGATACTACTAGAGAGTATAAAATTACCTATGTGTCTCATAGGGTATTTCTTTTTTTCATTTAAAGACAACTTTATTAGTATATCCTTGTATTATTTAAGGTGAACAGCTCGATGTTTTGGTATGTGTGGACACTGTGGAACAGTCACCACGGTCAAGCTAAATAACTCACCCATCATATCTCTATGTGGTTCCCATTTAATGTGTGCATGTGTGGTGAGATCCATCCTCTTAGCAAATTTCAAGTGTACAACATAGTATCAGTAATTATCATTGCCACACTGTGCATCAGATCCCCAGACCTCATTCGTCTCGTGTAACTGAAACTTTGTACCTGTTGACCACATTCCCTCATCCCCGCTCTTTCCAGCTCCTGACAATGACCATTCTACTCTCTGTTTCTATGATTTTGACTAGGCTAGATTCCATATATAAATGAGATCATGCAGTATTTGTCTTTCTGTGTCTGGCTTGTTTCAATTAGCATACTGTCCTCCATGTTCATCCATGTTGTTGCAAATGGCAGGACTTCCTCATCTTTTAAAGCCAAATGATATTCCATTGTGTATATACACCTCATTTCTTTATCCATTCCTCCATCGATGGACACACAGGTTGTTTCCATATCTTGCTTGTAGTGAATAATGCTCACATTATGTTTCTACTGGGCAGTACCAGTTTAGTGGTTTCTGTTTTCCAACAGTCCTATGTAGAAAATACTATTAATGCTCCCTTAGTTTGCCGGGGCTGCCATAACAAATTTCCATAGATGGGATAGCTTAAACAAAAGAAATTTATTTTCTCACAGTTCTGAAGGCTGGAAGTCCAAGTTCAAGGTGTTGGTCAGCAGGTTTGTTTTCCTCTTGAGGCCTCTCTGCTTGGCTTATAGATGGCATCTTCTCCCTGTGTCCTCACATGATTGACCCTCTGTGCATGTCTGTGTTCCAATCCTTTCTTATAATAAGGACACCAGCCATATTGGATCAGGGCCCATTCCAATGACCTTGTGTAAGCTTGATCACCTCTCTAAAGACTCTATCTCCAAATATAGTCACATTCTGGGTCCTGGGGGTTAGCACACCAGTGAATTCGGGGAACATAATTCAGCCCATAACACTGCCCTATTTTGAAGCCAGGAATATCAAATCTCAGAGAGGTTTAGTCACTTATCCACGGGGCTGAACTGGGAAGCTTCTCAAACTCCCCATCAGGAACATAACTGCAGAGCTGAAGACTATAATGGATTCCTCCTTTGGTGGCTCTTAGGCGGATCCCGTTCTGGCTGCGATCACCTACCTGGGACTGAGTCTCTCTCTGCTGTGCCTCTTCCTGGCAGCCCTCACCTTCCTCCTGTGCCAACCCATCCAGGACACCAGCACCTCCCTCCACTGGCAGCTGTCCATCTGCCTCTTCCTGGCCCACCTCTTCTTCCTCACAGGAATTGACCAGACTGAGCCCAAGATAGGAGAATTAGCTGAAACTTACTTTTCTGAGAACATGTACAGTGGCTTCCCAACCTTTGCTCACAAAGCTCAATGGGGGCAGCTGGAGGCAAGAAAACAGAAGGAGAGTCCAAAAATTTAGCCAGAAAATTTGTCTCCTTCATTGCCAACAGCTACCATTTTATTGCCGTCAATTGTGGAAAAAAGAGTGTTAGCAGAGTTCCTTGGCTGTAAAATAGTGAAATATGGATATAGTTACTATTGAACCATCCACTTAAAAATAGTTAAGATGTTAAATTTTGTGTTATGTATATTCTACCACAATTTTAAAAAAATATTTGCTGGAATTTAAAACGAGAGATTTTTGCACATCAATCAATATTTCCAGCTCTTTGAAGGAATGGAAAGTTTGGTAATATTGGGTGCACATTCTTGCATGGAACCAATAGTTGGAGCTGAGTTGCTGCTGCTTTAAAGAAGGATTGTGGAGGGCAGTTTCCATCACCACCTGTCCTCTAAAGCTGGCCTGCTTCACAGACATATGCTGCCTGCCTGGCCCTCTGTAAGTACTTGAGTTTGGATCCATGAGCTGATTTGAAAAACTATGAGAACTCCATCTAAACACCTTGCTCTGTATGATCATTTCCATTTACCTTGCATCCCATTTGCCCATAAAAATGATGAAACTTGTTCTCCATGCATCCACTCTTCTCCCCTCCAGGTGCTGTGCTCCATCATTGGAGGGGTGCTGTTCTACCTCTACTTGGCTTCCTTTACCTGGATGCTCCTTGAAGGGCTGCAGCATTTCTTAACTGTCAGGAACCTCAAGGTGGCCAACTACATCAGTGCAGGGAAGTTCAAGGAGATTTGCCTCCTTCATTGCCAACAGCTACCAAAGGACACCAAGCAGGTGTCCTTTAGGCTATGGATCCCAGCTGTGATTGTAGCTGTGTCTGCCAGTGTTGTACACAGCAGTTATGGAACACACACCCAGTAAGCGTGGTGTCTTTGTAATGAGGAAGTAATCATATATGTATGAAGTCACACTTGTTGGTTCATTGTAGTTTATTTATTTGCTTATTCATTGAACAATCATGTATTGAACATCTTACTACCAGTACTGTTTTATGTGCTATGGGTATCCCAGGAAATATGAGAGACAACAAGCAAATACACACGCAATATAGTACCAGGTCATGATAGGTTCCATTGAAGAGATGCAAACTAGGGAAATGGGAATGCATTTGGGGTGATATTTTAAATAGTGTGGTGAGAGAGGCCACTGAGAGGAAACTTCGTCATATGATATTTGACTTTTTAAAAATGTCTTACTATATTAATTTCCTATTCTATTATAACAGATTAGCTCAAATCTGGTGACTTAAAACAATGCAAACTTATAATCTTAGAGTTCTATAGATCAGATGTCCAACATGGGTTTCGCTGGGCTAAAATCAAGGTGTCAGCAAGGTGCATTCTTTCTCAGGGCTCTAGGGAGAATCCATTTCCTTGCCTTTTCTAGCTTTTAGAGGCCAGCCATATTTCTTGGCTTGTGTCCCCTGTCTCTGCCCTCCAAGCCAGCAACATTGCATCTTTCTGACCGTTCTTTACACCTTCTAACTCTCTTCTACTTCCATTGTTTCACCTCTAAGAACAGTTGTGATTAGATTGGATCCACTCAGGTAATCCAGGATAATCTCCCCATGTCAAGATCCTGAAACTTAAGTCATATCTGCAAAGTCCCTTTTGGCATGTACGGTAACACATTCACACATTCTGGGGATTAGAACAGTGACATCTTTAGGGTGGGGGGAGAGTAGCAGTATTCTGTCTACAGCACCTACACATTGACTTTCTTTTGTAATCTCTTCTAACTTGCAAAATTAAATCTAGTAAGGAGTGAGCAATCATGTCTTTAGAGTAGAGATGACTTTTGGAAAAGAAACGGTGTACAAAAGAGTGTTCATTGAACCGAGCAGTAAACAGATTACTTTTGAAATACAATTTGAGAAAAAGACTGGTTAAAATTTATGGAGGGAAGATGGAATTGAACCTAAATAGTATTGTTACTAAAAGCCAAATATATCTTTACTTTGTTACTGGTATTAGTCCAGTGGTTCACGGCTATGGGTGATTTTGAGCTTCCCCCTCAGGGGACTTTGGAAATGTCTGGAGACATTTTTGGTTGTCGCAACTTGGGAGGGGGTTGGCCACAGATGCTGTTGAATGTCTAATAATGCATAGAACAGGCCTACCATAAAGAACCATCATGTCAGTAGTGCCAAGGTTCAGAAACTCTGGTCTATTCAAAACCATTGCTCTGGTTTTATAATCAAATTCTGATATTATAATGACATGGCAATATTCAGTGGATCCCATGTTTAATTGAACGGCTTGTGCTGCATTACCTAGAACCTAATAAATCTTCAATGGATGTTAATAATTATTAATTTTTTCTTTTTGTTGTTGTTGTTATTTATTATTATCATTTATTCCTCCCTGACACAGTTTCTGTGCTGATATTTCTTCCTATTATTTCGGTTCAGGAAAGGAGTTTTCAATTTTATTTTAATGCCTTTGCTTCTTTTTATAAAGTTATGGGAAGTTGTTGATTCTCTTTTTTTAGCTGCTGGCTCAGTTTCCACAGAGGATTCATCTGGACTTTCATGGGACCTGTTTTTGTTATTATTCTGGTGGGTTTATAATTTTTGTCTTTACTTCGAGTGTAGAAAATACCATGTTTAATTGGTGTTGTAAAGGGATAACTTGTAAAGGATCTGTTTAAATTTTCTTTAGAGTTCTTGAACTTAGGGTAGAGCATGGCAAGAAATTATGGACCCCTTTATTTGTGGAAAAAGTCACATAGAACAAATCTCAGTTGAAACTGAGAAGTAGTATTGCTGAATCATATGGCAGTTCTATTTTTAATTTTTTTGAGGAAACTCCATATTGTTTTTCATAGTGGCTGCACCATTTTACATTCCTATCAACAGTTCATAGGGTTTTCAATTTCTCCACATTCTTCCCAACACTCATTACCTTTTTTATCTTCAAATAATTTAAGGCCCGTGAGAAGTTGCAAAAATGGCATGAGTCCCAGGTATCCTTCACCTAGCTTTCTCCAATAGCAACATTTTATGTAACCATATAGACTGTGTTTCGCTGATAGAATTTGATCTTCAATCTTTTTTTTTTTTATGGCCATGTAAAACATTTAATACATTATTTAAAATTTTTGTATACAAAACATTTAGTGCATTATTTAAATTTTTTGTAAACAAAAGGATCAACAAAACTGAAAAGATAAGAACCAAAATGGAAATAGTGCTTGTCTTTGTGTATGGAATTAAAGATAAGTTTTGTATGTTTTTCTGCATTTTCCCTAATTTTTGATAATGGCTCAAAGTGAACTTCAGAAATCTTAAACATATTTTACAAGTTCTAGAATACATCCCTATATCAATTTCTAATTTAATTGTAAATATTGGGTATAAGTCTGCTTTATGCTCTATCCTTCATGTCATTTCTACAGATCAACTTGTCCTGCTATCTGACCACACTATGGATTTTAAGAGACAAACTCAGTTCCCTCAGTAATGATGTATCCAAGATGCAGAACACAAGGTTGGTGGCACAGAGCCAGAAAATTAAAAAGAAAGTAGGTTTTTTTTTTGCAGAATTTTTTTTACTGCACAAAGTTAGGGTTGTGGGTCTAAATTGGAAGCAATTTTCTGGAGACATTTTTGGTTGTCACAACATGGGATGAGGTGGAGAGACGATGGTTGCTGCTGGTATCCAGTCAGTAGAGGCCAGGAGTTCTGCTACAAACATCCTACAATGCACACGCAGCCCCCCTACCCCCTGAATTATCTTATTCAAAGTCACTAGAACTGAGGTTGAGAAACCATGATTTAGGGGGATAATGTCAGCACTTTTCTCCATTTTTATGATTTGAGGAACTATATAGTCCATGTGAAAACTTAAAAACTTAGCCAGCATATGAAGCTCAGGATATATTTCTACAAAGATCCTTTTCAGTACTTAATGTTATGAAATACATATATATTATAATTAAGATTATTGTGTTAATTTATTGTTTTATGCAGGTGTTAATTAAGTATAACAAAGAAAACAGATCAGGAATTAGCTACCACAAAAAAGATAATTTGTTATATTCACAGAACCCTAGGGGAGGGGCATGCTCTGGAGTAGGGTGGGGGTGGTAGTGGGAGAGTAGATAGGAGAGGTGGGAAGAGGCTATAAAGAAGGTGGTTGAAGGGGTGGGCTCTGGATTGGTTAGTTTGCATTTGAAAGGCATGTTTCCAGTGTGAATTCTTTGTTATCTCTTCTAAATGGTTAACCCTTGGAGGGGCGGTCCCCCCCAGAGTCAGCAAAGCCCCAGATGTTAAAGCAACAGAAGACAGAAAATGGAAGACACAGTTAATACACTTATAGTATATAATTATAATACAATGCCATCATGTTACTATTACAAACACTGGAACATATGCTGCTTAATTATACCAAACATAAATATATATTTCTTTGTATATATGTAAAATATTATCTTCTATAAATAATTACTTGAGATATATTATAGTACGCATTGTCCTAAGCTAACATTACATATCAATTAATCTCTTTAACACGACTGCCAATCAAAATCATATTTAATAGTCTGACATTCTAAGTAGTCCCGAGCTTTGAAGCAGGTGTAAAATCATCCTACTATGTGACAAAAGGTGTTGAGATGGTCCGTGGAGTCAAGGTGGGTGATATCATTCTGTAGCTTGGTTTTGGCAGGATGCTGATGTTTAAAGCCATTGCTCAGCTCTTCATTTTGGGCTGTTCTTGGGGCCTTGGCTTATTTCTGGTTGAAGAAGTCATGGATCCCATCAGATGAATGATTGCCTATACTTTTACCATCATCAATGTCCTTCAGGGTGTCTACATTTACCTGGTCTACTGCCTTTTCAGTCACAGGGTAAGCCAACCTGCCCATCTCCTGGGGCCACCCTTAAAGATGTTTGACTACCTCTTGATGTCTCAGTCTTTACTACCATTTTCTCTTCTTTTTTGTTTCTCCATTTCTTAGGTAGTGGTTGGGTGGTAGTTGTTCCAGGCATGACCTTTCAGGATTTGTCTTTCTTGCTTTGTTATTTGAATATGCACTGCAGTAACAGAAACTGAATAGGTCCATACAAAGTTCAGATGATCTGAAAAAGACTTTTTAGGACTTTATCTTGGAAAAAAACCCTTACACTATGAAAATAAATCTGGCTCACTCCATTAGAAAACTGAGTTTATAATTGTAATCATGCACTAATTCTTAGAATGAAAAATAAACGAGTCAAATGTTGATTTTTGAGGGGAGCAATTTTACAGAATTTTTCAATAGCTCTGATATGATAATTTTTATGTGATGCATGAGTTTTTCAAACTGCAATGTTGCACAAATAATGTGGGATTTATTTATTTTCCAAGGGTCTCTGAATCCTTTGACATTTTAATAATTTCATTTTGATGTATCTGTCTTATTATGATTCTTTTTAGAGTTTCACTATTTATTTATTTATTAATTATTATTAAATTTATCAGGGTGACACTGGTTAATAAAATCATATAGGTTTCAAGTATACAGTTTGATAATACATCATCTGCATATTGCATTGTGTGTTCAACTCTGTTAAATCTCCTTCTGTCTCCTTTATCCTTATTTACCTTCCCTCCCTCTTTTCCTTTTGGTCACCACTAAACTGTTGTCTGTGTCTATGAGTTTTTGTTTGTTTGTCTTGTTCATTTGTTGCTTTCAGTTTTATATCCCACATATAAGTGAAATCATGTTTCTCAACTTTTTCTGTTTGACTTATTTTGCTTAGCATGATAATCTCAAATTGATCCATGTTATCACAAATGGCAGTATTTCACCTTTTCTTGTGGCTGAGTAATATTTCTCAACATCTTTATCCAAACACCTATTGAGGGGTGCTTTGGTTG